GCCATCAGGCTCTGTCTGTCTCCTGCTGGAGGGGCTGATGAGGGACTGGAGCATCCTGGCTTGGAGAATAGGAACATTCTGCTCTTGGGGGAGGGTTGAACACATCCCCTGGGGACTCAGGAGCTCTGTGCTGAAGTCCATCCCCTTCCCCACAATCCCTGACTCTGGATGCAGACAGCGTCGAGAGGATGTTGTTGGTTACACCCACGTATCACAGAAGCACAACTAGAATGCTCCTCAGAAGCTCGTGTGACGTCATCTCTCGTATTTTGGAGATGTAGTTAGGAGGGACCAGTCCTTGGAGAAGGGCATCATGTTTGGAGAAGCGGAGGGTCAGAAAAAGAGGAAGATTTCCCAGGGATATGGACTGATAGCAGGAGCAGCAATGGGCTGAACAATCGTGAGGCTGGTGTGGGACCAGGCAGCAGTGGTTTGTTCTGTGGCATGTAGGGTCACTGTGACTCGATGGCACCTAACAACAGCCACCTCTACAGAAAGGACACCTGATGGCATCAAAAGTTAAGTACTGTGTTGCTACTAGAAAAGTCGGCAGTTCAAACCCACCAGCTTTGTGGTAGAGAAGACCCTGTGATCTATTCCTGTAGAGATTCACAGCCTTAGAACCCTTATGGGGACAGTTCTGCCCTATAGGGTCATGATGAATTGGGATGGCTTATCTTTATGGAAGGAGATTACCAGGCCTTTCTTCCTAGGTGCCTCTGGGTGGACTTGAATCACCATCCTTTTTGTTTTTGCAGTGACTTCATATAATTAAAAATAAAGTCCTCAAGTTGATCCCAAGTCACTGTCACCCCATGTGACAGAACTGCCCAGGCTTTTCTTGGCTGTCATCATTATGGAAGCAGATTGCCAGGACTTTATTCTGCAGAGCCGCTGGGTGGGTTCAAACTGATGACCTTTTGGTTAGAAGCTGAGAGTGTAACCCTGTGCCAACAGGGCTCCTTCCCAGGAGAAAAGAGATCCACAATTCTTCTGAGGATCAGCGTCAGTCCAGCAGAAACCCTGGACCTGGTGGGAGATGGAACTGGGAGAAACTGCAGTAGAGTCTGGGACAAAGCAGAGGGTGGCTCCCACTGGGGAGAGGAATCCGAGAGGAGCGGGCCGAGACAGAAACAACCTGTGTGTACATACCAGAGTCCTTGCATGAAACACCCAGACTATACAGCAAACAAGCACCCATTTAACATAAAGTCACATTTATTCAACTCTCAACAAAGTCCCAGACACACAAAATGTTGGTAAACTGGAGAAAAGAAGCCCAAACCAAGTGCACTGCCATCAAATTGGTTCTGATGCATAGTGACCTTTAGGACAAAGCAGAACTGTCCCCATCGGGTTTCTAAGGCTATAAATCTTCACAGAAGCAGACTGCCATATCTTTCTTCCTCAGAGTGGCTGGTTGGCTTGGACTGCTAATCCGGTTAGCAGATAACTTGCTTTAACCATGGTGTAACTAGTGCCCCTGGTGGCCCAGCCCTAAACCAAACCCAAATCACTGTCATCAAATCAGTTTTGACTCACAGTACCCCTAAAGGACAGGGTAGAACTGCTCTATAGAGAGATTCAGGACCACGTTAAAAAGTAAGTACATCATTTTGAAGGCTAAGGTGCCCCTGATCCAAGTCATGTTATTTCAGTGACCAGGAGTCCTGGTGTGGTGATGTGGGTTAATGTGCTGGACTGCAAAGTTGGTTTGAACCACAAGATCAGTGGTTCAAGCTCACCAGCTGATCCTTGAAAACACTATACAGGGTTGCTATGGGTGGAACCAACTCCACGTCACTTAACGATAGGTATGTAAAAGCTGGATAGTGAATAAAGAAAAGAAGTCTCAATGCCTTTGAATTATGGTGTTGGCAAGAATATTGAACATACCACGGACTGCCAAGAGAAAGAACAGCTCTCACTGTTGTGGAAGAAGTATCGCTGGAATGATTCTTAGAAGTGAGGATGGTGAAACTTGGGCTCATGGACTTTGGACATGTCAGGAAAGAGCGATCTCTGGATAAGAACATCATGCTTGGTAGAGGGTCAGTGAAAAAGAGGGAGACCCTCAGTGAGATGGACTGACACAGTGATTGCAGGACCGGGCAGGATGTAGCCGGTCGCGCATGCGGTTGTTATGAGTTGGAACAACCGCCACAGTGCAGCCTGGAAAGCCAGGCCCCTCGTCTGACCGATGATCACCAAGAATCTCAGGGCAGTGACAGCAGGGCATTCAGCCAGACCGGGGCCCTTTGTGTCTGAGCAGATGGTCCACCTGCGGGAATTCTCCGGATCCTGACTGCTGAACACACCAGCGAACCACAGGAGGTACCTTGACCGACTGTACCTCCACAGAGGCTTTCTCACAAATTGAAGGTTTGTGGCAACCCCGCGCCCAGCAAGTCTACGGGCGCATTTTCCCAACAGTGTGCTCAATTCTACGCTGTCACCCTGGCTGATTCTTGCAATATTTCAAACGTTTTCACCATGGTTTCTGCACGCTCCATTAAGCAGTCTGTGTGAATACAACTTTCACAGACAACGGGAGACCCAAAAAACAAGGTCCGACTCACGTTATTGCGATACGCCCTTTATTGCGGTGGTCTGGAGCCCACCCGAGTGATCTCGGAGGTCTGCCTGCATCGTACCTTTCCCCGTCTCCCAAGGCAGAGATGCCTGTGCTTAGGGCTTTATTTAACTGTCTAGTGGGGCAAAGCAGGAAGGGGCATTCTCTGATGCCAATGAAACCCACAAAAGCCCATCAGGAGACAGTCACCCACCCTAACCAGGGGCAAGGAATCGTATTCTTCCACTTTTATGACCCCATTATGGAGACTGAATTACATCCTCCCAAAAATGCGTTATAAATCGCAACTCCTCTACTTGTGGTTACAATCCCATTTGGGAATAGGTTTCCTTATGCTCAGGAGGGTTAGCGTAGGGTGTGTCTTAAGTTGATCTCTTAAGAGATCTAAGGGAGAGATGGGGGAAGGCGGGCACCATGTCACAGAGCTCTCCGGAGAACAGCAGCTGAAGAGACATGGGGGTTCCCCCAAAGCTGACGCCCTGCGTTTACATGTCCAGCCTCCTAAGCTGTGAGCATAGACCTGTTAACGTCCTCCGTTTGTGGTCTTTCTGTCAGAGCACAATGACAGAACTAAGACACAGGAACCTAAGACATCAGTCAAGAGATATTGATAAACAAGAAAACACTACAGAAGCTAAGACATTCTTAGCATTAGGAGACGGTATCCTGACGTAACCGTCCTCCGGCTTATGAGCTGATATAATCATCCTAGGAGCTGTAAATCCTCACCACTATCAAACGGAGTCCTGGTGTGGCACTTCAGGATAAGCTCTGGACTGCAAGGGTGGCGGTTCAAACCCACCAGTTGCTCCTTGGAAACCCTAGAAAGGGTTGCTATGAGTCAGAACCAATTCCATGGCACTTTAACAACAACAACAACATGATGTTAACAGGAGTCCTAGTGTGGCGCTATGGGATCAGCACTGGACTGTCAACCACAAAGTTGGCTGTTCAAACTTACCAACAGCAACTTGGAAACTCTATGCAGGGTCTTTATCGAGTCAGAACTGATTCCACAGTGTTTAACAACAACAGCAGCATGATGCTGATACGGAGCTCTGGTAGCGTAGTGGATTATGAATTGAGGTGCTAACTATAAGGTCACCAGTTTGAATCTACCAGTGGCTCCATGGGACAAAGATGAGGCTTTCTGCTCCCATGAAGATTTACAGCTTCAGAAACCCTATGGAGAGTGGCTATGAATCGGAACCGAGTCCACGGCACGTAACAACAGTAGCAAGAGGTGGATGACGTGTCCTGGAAGTGTAGTGGATTACGTTTTGGGCCGCCTGCTAGCAGTTTGAGTGTACCAGTCACTCCACAGGAAAAAGATGAAGCTCTCTGCTCCTTTAAAGCTTTACAGCCTCGGAACCCCTCTAACTGGGTTGCTATGTGTCGGAACCGACTCGGTGGCACACAACCACCGCCATGATGTTAATGAGAGGCTTAGAGGCAGTTTTGTTAACTAGGCAGGGCATAATCTACAGGATTACATTTTATCTTGATCCAATCTTTTAAGAGATAAAAGGGATTTAAACTATCGAGTAGACACCAGAGGGTACCACCAAGAAAGATGAGTTGGTAGTAAAGCTTTGGATCCAGGCTTCCTGAACTGAGAACCTCCCAGACCCAGGGGAAGACTGGTTCCAAGACACATGGAGATCTCCAAGGAATGCTGGGCCCACCGGTGCTGAAAGGAAACAAGGACCTTTCCCTAGAGTCAATAGAAAAGCCTTTTTTCCCTAGAACTGGCGTTCTGAATTTCAAGGCTCCTAAGGAGCCCTGGTAGCGAGCGTAGTGGTTATGAATCAGGCTGGTAACCTCAAGGTCGACAGTTCGAAACTACCAGTGGTTCCATGGGAGAAAGATGAGGCTTTCTGCTCCAGTAGATTTACAGCCTTGGAAACCCTGTGCAGGGTCACTATGGGTCGGAACCGACTCCACGGTACTTAACAACAACAAACTGAGAGAATACATTTGTTGAAGCCGTGCACTTGTGGGATTTCTGTTACAGCGGTACAAAAGCACTGGGACGGGGCCCCCCTTTTCCCTTTAATGACTCCTTTCCTCTATGTGTTCTCTGTCTATGCTATTTGGCATGTAGATAGGACTGTCCTGGTAGGAGCTAACCCCAAGTGTCTTTCAGTGTGATCTAACACCACGCTGTGGATGAAAAATCTAACTGTAGGGAACACTGGCTGCTGCTGACCTGTGAGGTTCTTTCTACTCATCCCTGTCCTGTTTCATCTGCAACAAAGGCCTGCTGACCTTGTCATCAGAACAGTGTCTGATGCTCCAAATGGTCCATCGCTGTCACTAAGAACTTGAAGATAAGCACACTGCCCTGAGAGCATCTCGGCCGTTCCTAAGTTCATTCCAAAGAGGCAGGGAGCCAAGATTCCGCTCCTCACAGACGTGCCACCTGCTGCTCAGGTGTCAGCTTTCTCCCACCGCGTCCACCTGGAGGCGTCTCGCCGACATGCATCTTCAGGTGGCAGTTAAGGTTCCCGACGCGTCGGAAGGCCTTGCCGCACGCCTCGCACACATAGGGCTTTTCCCCGGTGTGGATCCTGCGGTGGGCCGTCAGCGTGGGCTGGTGTCGGAAGGATTTTCCGCACTGCCCGCAGTGGTAAGGCTTCTCCCCCGTGTGGATGCGTCCGTGCTGGACAAGGGTGGACTTGCGGATGAATGCCTTCCCGCACACGCCGCACTGGAAGGGCCTTTCGTCACTGTGGATGGCCTGGTGCTGAAACAGGAAGGAGACCTTCCGGAAGCTCCTCCCACACTCGCTGCAGCGGTATGGCTTTTCGCCCGTGTGGATCCGCAGGTGGATGGACAGGTGGGCCTTCTGGCTGAAGGCCCTCTTGCACACGAGGCACTCGTAGGGCTTCTCCCCGGTGTGCGTCCGCTGGTGGACGGCGAGGTAGCCCTTCTGGCTGTAGGATTTCCCGCAGGCGGCGCACTGGAACGGCCGCTCGCCCGTGTGGCTGCGCTGGTGCACCACCAGCTGGACGTTCTGGTTGAAAGCCTTGCCGCACTCGGCGCAGCGGAAGGGCCGCTCGCCTGTGTGAATGCGCTCGTGCAGGATGAGGGCGGACGATTTGGTGAAGCACTTGCCGCACTCGCGGCAGCGGTACGCCTTCTCGCCCGTGTGCGTTTTCTGGTGTTCTACCAGCGTCATGCTCTGTGTGAAGGCCTTGCCGCATTCGTAGCAGCGGAAGGGCCGCTCGCCCGTGTGGATGCGGTGATGGTTGACCAGGTCCGACTTCTTCCGGAAGGCCTTCGAGCACACGGCGCACTTGTGAGGCTTTACGCCTGTGTCGGCTTTCTGGTGGCCAAGGAGCGAGGAGCGCTTGGCGAACTGCTTGCCACATACGTTGCAGGAGAAAGGCTTCTCGCCGGTGTGGAGGCGCTGGTGGTGGATGAGGTGGGTGATGAGGGTGAATGCTTGGCCGCAGTCACCGCACCTGTAGGGCTGCTCCCCCGTGTGCGTGCGCAGGTGGCCGACCAGCTGCATGTTCTGTGCAAAGGCCTTGCCGCACTCACCACACCTGTACGGCCTCTGACCCACGTGCGTGCGCTGGTGCACCATGAGGTTGGTGCGCTGGCTGAAGACTTTACCGCAGTCCAAGCAGGCGAAGGGCTTTTCACCCGTATGGAGGCGCTGGTGCGCAGCCAGGATGTTGTGCGTCCCGAAACACTCGCCGCATTCGGCACATGCAAAGGGTTTGTTGGCAGTATGGATGCGCTGGTGCTGGGCCAGGTCTGACTGCCGGCTGAAGGCCTCCTCGGAGTCTTTGCACGCATAGGCCTTCTCTCCTCTGGGGGCCCACGGCAGCTTCCCTGAATCAGAACTTGTTTTAAAATTATTATATTTGTCCAGGCCACCTTTCCAGGTTCCCCCGCTTCCTGGAATTCTTGGGGACCCCAGAACGGTCCCCGGCTCTCCCAGGGGATTCTCTGAGGAGCTATCCAGTCTCCCCACTCCTCCTGAGGCAAAGCTCCAGAGATGGCCCCTTCCCAATTCTTCTAACTCCAGCAACGGGGACAGCCCCATGGAGACAGCACCCTCTACACCGTCACTCTTAGACCTGGATTCCAAATCTGAAAGAGAAGATACAGACATCACCTGCTCTCGGAGCTGACCCACTGGGTGGGCTCAGGGCTAGGGAACCCCAGAAACCCCCTCTTGGCACTCCCGAAACCAACCAAACCAAACCTGTTGTTGTCACGTTGTTCCCATCACAGTGGCTCGACGTGTCACCGAGTAGAACGGCCCTGTAGGCTGTTGACTCAACAGTCCAAAACAAGAATAACAGTCTTTACAGAGAACCAGACGGTGGCACAAAGTGTGGCCCTGGGGGTTAATGTGCTGTACTGCAGGGTCGGATTCAACTGGAAGGTTGGTGGTTCAAGCACCCCAGCCACTTTTGGAAACCCTATACAGGGTCACTATGAGTTGGAACCGACTCGGCAGCATTTAACAACAACAACAACAAAGTAATAGGAGTTCTGGTGTGGTGCTATAGGATAAGCACTGGACTGCTAACCACAAGGTCAGTGGTTCAAACCCACCAGCCAAGCTCACCAGGGTTATTATGAATCAGAACTGACTCCATGGTACTTTAACACCAACTAAGCAACAGGTTGGGGGTCTGGACCCACTGCAGTGCTTCATGGGAGAAAAGCCAGAAGATCTACTCGAGTAAAGATCACAGCCAAACTCCCAGGCCACCAAGACAGTGTTCTACCTCCTACTTTGTGCCTGCAGCCACTGATGGTGTAACTACTGTCTCTCTCCATCTGAAGCAAAGTGCCCAGCGCACGATCACTCCCAAGCCCTCCTCCAGGGAAGAGGAAATGAAACGCATTGGCCGTTCAAAACCTGCTGCAGTTGAGTTGATTCCGACTCACAGTGACCCTGCCTCGTAGGGTTTCCAGAGCTGCAAGTCTTTACCCACCATACTGCCTTTCCCCTGCAGAGCGAGCGGCCGGTGGGTTCCAGCCATCGACCTTTCAGTTAGCAGTCCAGTGCTTAACCCATGGCGCCACCTGGCATCCTTCTGTTAGATGTGGGCCCAGGGATTTTGGAAGTTCCGGAACTTGGTGCCCAAATGCACTCAATACTTCCTGATGTTTTCTTCCTGGGGAGGCACCGCAGTGTCAAGGTGACCTCCATCTTACCCAGTGAGCTGAGGTTCTGAAAATTCTCTAGCATCACGTCGTTGTACAGGTCCCTCTGAGCGGGGTCCAGCTGCTGCCATTCTTCCTGAGTGAAGTCCACAGCCACGTCCCGAAATGTCACCATCTCCTGCAACAGCAAAGATGGCCTGCTCACCCAGGCCCGTGGGTGCAGGGAAGGGCGAGAAAAGGCGCGGGCTTTAATGGATGCAGTCCTTGGGGGTGGTGTAAATGGCAAACACTCTGGGCTGCTAGCTGGAAGGTTGGTGGTTCAAGTCTACCAGGAGGTGTTGTGGAAGAAAGCCCTGGAGACCTTCAGAAAAACCAGCCACGGGAAACCCCATGGAGCTGCTTTTACTCTGACACACATGGGGTCACTTTGGGTTGGAATAGACTCAGGAGCAATTGGTTGATGTTGTTGTTAATGGCGCATGGGTCAGTGCAGGTGCTGGGCATAGTTGTTGTTAAGTTGGGGTTGAGTTGCTTCCGACTCATGGTGCCCCCGTGTATATCAGAGTAGAACTGTGCTTCACAGTTTTCAAAACAGAAGCCGATTATCAGACTTTTCTTCTGAGGCACTTCTGAGTGGGTTTGAACCAGCGTCCTTTTAGCTAGCAGTGCATGCTTAACCGTGTGCACCACCAAGGGCTCTGGGAACATTTTAAGTGCTTCAATAAGCATTAGATTCTGACTCAAGCTGAGCTCATGGGACACAGTGTAACTGCCCCACAGGGTTCCCCAGGCCAATATCTTTATGGGAGCAGAACGCCACGTCTTTCTTCCGCAGAGCAGCTGGTGTGTTCAAATGTAATGACTGTACCATCAGGTCGCCTCAGAAGTTCTCCCAGGACCTAGCACATAGTCATCGTCTCACCACTTGACCTCCTCATGGATCCCAGAACGTTTCCCTTTTTACAGATGAGGTCCAGAGAGGTGTTTCACTTGCCTGAGGCCACCCAGCTAGTAAAGGGTGGCACTGGGATGGGAATGCAGGCCCCTGCTTGCTGACTGCAGGTTCAGACACGACAGGCTATACAAGCAGCCCTCGGGGATGATTCAGACTGGGTTCCTGACCACCTCAGCAAGCCAATCCCCCAACAAAGTGAGTCACATACATGTGGACTTCCTAGTGCACTGTAGGGGAAGCATTAGTTCAAAAGGCCAGTTTGAACTGCAAGTTCGGTGGTTCAGACTCACTAGCTGCTCCTCGGAAACCCTATACAAGGTTGCTATGAGTCAGAACTGACTCCACAGCACATAACAACAACAAAGTGCATATAAAGGAGTCCTGGTGTGGTGGTGCAAGACACTGCACTGGATTGCAAGGTCAGAGGTTCAAACCCTCCAGCTGCTCCCTGGGAGAAAGATGAGGCTATCTGCTCCTGTAAAGATTTATAGCCTAGACTCGATGGCAGTGGGCTTGGGTTTTGGTGTTGGGTGGCGCTGTGGATTACTTCGCTGGACTGCAAAGTCAGTTTGAACTGCAAGGTTGGCGGTTCAAGCTCACCAGCTGCTCCTATGCAAGGTTGATATGGGTCGGAACCGACTCGATGGCACTTAACAACAAGTGTGAAGGAGCTCTGGTGGCTCATACTGGGTTACAAGTTGGGCTGCTATCCACAAGGTCAGCAGTTCGAAACCACCTGCAGCTCCATGGGATAAAGATGAGGCTTTCTGCTTCTGTAAAGATTTATAGCTTTGGAAACCCTATACAGGGTCACTGTGAGTTGGAACTGGCTCTATGGCACACAACCACCACCACCACGACGAAATACGCAACAACATCATGAGAAAGTTGGAAATATTGTGAGAATGACCCCATGTGACACATGGACATTCGCTGTTGGAAAAACAGTGCCAGCAGACGTGCTTGACGCAGGGTTGTCACAAACCTTCAGTGTGTCGAACACGCAGCATCTGAGAAGCAGGAGGCCTGCCCGTGTATCTTTGAAGGGACTTGATTCAATCCCTAACTCCCATGTTACTAGCAAGGCAACAGTCGGAGAGCCCGGGGCTTCACAGCACAGGGCCCCAAGGTCCATCAGATGGCACTCTTAACTGCTCCCCTCCTCTGTCTCCCGGCACACGTGATGAATGTGGTACACAGACACAATCACAAGGACGCAGCGTGTGCCTGTCTTACTTGTCTGCCATCTTGGTTTGTTCCCTCACTCCTGGATGCTGGGTACCTGATTAATCCCTCTCAGAGCCCCTGACACGGGGACACTGGGGGCCTCAATAAACACGGGCCAGACTCACCAGTGGTGCCTCCTGACTTCCGGGTTTGGTTCCTTCCTTAGAAAGGCCTTTCCCATTTTTACTCTGGACTGTGGCACTCAACTCCTCCAGGAAAAGGTGACAGGGACAAAGGCACCAGGAAGGGACTCAGGTGGGCAGGGGTTCAGCCGAGGGTAGAACCCCCCCAGAGCCAGCTACCCACAGGAGGAGGAGGGGAGCGAGGCACGACATGACTCACCAGGGTCTCATCAGGCAGCAGCTGAGTGGCCATCCCTCCACTGCCCACAGTGACCAGGGGATGGGAGGACAGGCCCGAGGGGTCCAGACGGCTGTGATGCTAACAGGAGAGGGTGGGAAAGTCAGGGAGAGACCAGGTCTCCTGGACACACAGACAGACAGACACATTCACACAGAGACACACAGACACACACTGATAAACACACATACAACAACATACAGATACATGCACATAGACATACAGACACACACAGACACATACACACATAGACACTCACATATAGACATAAACATATACACAAAGACACACAGATACAAGCACACAGACACACAGATAGATACAAACACACCAATGCACAGGCTTGGGCTGTGGCCTTCTGCCTTTGGCTGAAGCCCTGCCCACCCGAGCCCCTTCCCAGGGACCTTCTCCAGGGACTGGTCCCTGCTGACAACGTGTCCTTAGCAGGATTACAAAGGGAACGCGCTGAGTCAACAGAGAATGGAGCAGGTAAGCACTTGGTCAATGTCTGCCCCGCACACAGCCAGGGCTCCGGAGCGCTGACCGGAACAGTGACAAGAGTAGCTCACGTGACTAACCTGGGGCAGCAGGCCAGAGACCCTGGCTGGTACCAACGTTAAGCGCTCGGCTACTAAACAAAAGGTGGGTGGTTCAAAGCCAGCCAGAGGCCCCTCTGAAGAAAGACCTGGTGATCCGCTCCCTAAAGGTCACAACATTGGAACCGATTCTCCCCTAACACGCGTGGGTTCGCCAAAAGTCAGAATCCACGCCACATCTGGCTAGGTTGTTTTTGGGGTGACTGTCCAACTGCCCAATTTTATGGGTGCAGAAACCGAGCGTTGGCGGGACAAGGATTCAGATCCTTCCTATCTTGGGGTCCCCCCTCCCCTTTCCCACCCCATCTCCCGCCTCCCACAACGAAAGCTGGACCAGCAAGTCCATCAGGGTGGTGGGGCGAGCCCGGTGGGGAAACCAAGGTACAGGGGAGAAGCAGAGGCACTGAGAGTCTGTCAGCGGACTCCAGCCGGGCGCACTCCGCAACCCCACCCAGTCGGGAGCGCCCACTCACCCAGCGGCCTCAGAGTAACGGGGTTCGGGCTGCAGTCGGTCCGTTGTAGCGGTGATGTGCGCCTGCGCGGTGTGCCCCTTCACGGACCCCGCCCTGCCCGCCCCGAGTTCCCAGATGCCTCCGCGACGGCCGGATGGAGAGGGGCGGGGCGGACAAGGGAGGTGGAGGGAGGGGAGGAAGCCGGAGAGTGGGGAGTAAAGGAAGCAGGGGCCGGGGAAGGAAGCAGAAAAGGGCTCGTGGGAGGAAGGGAAGAAAGAGCAGAGAGCGGGGGGTGGGGGAAAGGAAGAAGAAAATGAGACTGGTGGAGAGAAAAGGGATCGTTTCAACAATACAAGGATAAATCAAAAAGAATTGCTACTAGGGCTCCGTCGCATGCGCGCACGGTTTATTCCTCGTAAAACACGTTAAAGTGTGTCTCTGCGGCCAGCAGATGTCTGCAGCCGAGCGCTCTCGCCCTTACACCTGTCTTAGTCTTGGTAGGGTGCCTTCACAAAACCATCCCATCTGCTGGGCCCGTTCTGTTCAAGGCGGAGAATCAGCTCAGAAGGTTGTGAAATCTGATTTGGGGGATTCCAAAGGGGCACTCAAGATAGATTTTCTTGAAGGACACAGGATGATCACCGGGGCTTATGAAGAAGTTTTAAGAAAACTGAAAAAACTGTTGAGAAAAAAGGCCAGGAAAATTGTGCTAAGGATTCCCTCCCCCCCATCACAACCACGCACCTGCTAATTCTTTGAGGGTAGCAAGGGTAACCCTACAAGAATGTCATAGGGGTACAGTACCCCATCCACCCACCCTACAGCCGTGATTTTACCCCTTCAGACGTCTTTTTGCTCCTAAAACTAAAACACCATTTCAAAGGCATGTGATTTGAATTCTTCAAAGATGCCAAAACTGCCAGTTTGAAGAGTGCAGAATTCTTCAGTGTAGGGTTGTATTGTTGCTAAGTGCCATGGAGTCGGTTCCGACCCATAGCGACCCTGCAGTTCAAACCCACCTGGTTATCTTACAGTGTCACACCAGAACTCCAGGGTAGGGGTTGTTGTTGTGAAGTTCCGTCAAGTCGGTTCCGACCCATAGTGACCCTGTATAGGTTTTCTGAGGAGCAGCTGGTGAGTTTGAACTGCCAACCTTGCAGTTCAAATGGCTTTGCAGTCTGGTGCATTAACCCACAGAGAGATGGAAATACTGTCTTCAGAAGTGTAGAGATTTAAATGGAGAATTTCACCAGAAATAATAGCTTCTCATGTCGCTATTTCTGTTAAATAAAATGGCTATGATTTTGTAGCAATACTTTTTGACTTACCATTGTACTGTAAGGAACAATAAGAAGGTGATTTTAAATAGAACTGGTTGATCGCAGGCAATCTTTCTGACTCTGACTCTAATGAGCTGTGTGTCCTTGGATCACAACCTTAATTTTCGGAGTCTGGTTTCCCCTCTGTAAAAGGGATTGAGGATAAGAAAAGCTGCCTTATAGGGCTATTATGCAGATTGCTGGTGTTAGATGCTGTTGAGTCAACAACTCATAGTGACGGTGTGCACAGCAGAACACAACGCTGCGTCATCCTCACAGTTACGTCCATAGCTGCTGCCATGCTGATTAAATGAATGAATTCACGTAACATTATTAGAACTGGGATTGTTGGTAATTGCCATGGATCAGGTTCTAACTCACGGTGTGCAGAGCAGAGCCATGTTCCTTTGGGTTTTCAGTGCCTGGTTTTTCAGAAGTAGATGGCCAGGTCTTTCTTCTGAGATACCTCTGCATGGACTGGAACCATTAACCTTTAGGTTAGTAACTGATCACATGATTATTTGTGAAAATCTAATGAAGTAATACAAGGAGCTCTGGTAGCGTAGTGGTTACGAATCGGGCTGCGAACCTTAAGGTCAGCGGTTCGAAACTACCAGCCGCTCCGCGGGAGAAAGATGAGGCTTTCTACTCCCGTAAAGATTTACACCCTCGGAAACCCTGTACAGGGTCGCTATGGGTCGGACCCTACTCGATGGCACTTAACAACAACAACAACAACAATGAAGTAATACAGTGACCTTCTTACAATAGTGCCCAGCACATGTTTTAGGTGCTGTCGAGTCCTGTCTGACTTGTAGTGACCCCATGTGATACAGTAGACTTGCCCATAGGGTTTCTTAGGCTGTAATCTTTATAGGTTACGAATCGGGCTGCTACCCTCAGGGACGGCAGTTTGAAACTACCAGCTGTTCCGTGGGAGAAAGATAAGACTTTCTGCTCCCATAAAGATTGACAGCCTTGGAAACCCTGTACAGGGTCACTATGAGTCAGAACCGACTCCACGGCACATAACAACACTCTTTACAAGAGCAGATCACCGTGTCTTTACAGGAACCTCTGCACGGGTTTGAGTCGCTGACTTTGAAGATTAGTGGGCTAATCTTCAACCTTGCATAGGGTTGGTTTCCCAGGAGCAACTGGTGGGTTTGAACCGCTGACCTTGCAACGAGTAGACCAGTGCTTCTCCTATAGCACCACACCAAGACTGCTGGAAGATGTATGAGGGAGAGTTACATTAATTGTGATTCAATATAATTATATCCATCCATCCCCACAACATCACAAGGAGCAATAGATTGCATCCGAAACACTGCTGCAATCGAGACAATACCAACTCGTAGTGGCCTGGTAGGTCAGCGTGGAACTGTTCTGGTTTCAAAGGCTGGTTTCAAAGGTCGGGTTGAACTGCAAGGTTGGTGGTTCAAGCCCACCTACCACTCCTTGGGAACCTTATACAGGGTTGGTATGAGTCGGAACTGACTTGACCGCAATTAACAACAACAATAATTGTTACAGAAGCAGATGGCTATGTCTTTCTCCAGGAGAGCTGCTGTTTAATTTGAACCACTAACATTTTGAACTACGTGAGTGAGAGGGCTTTAATTATTGTGCCACCAGGTCACCTTAAATAAAGAGACGAACACCCTTGGAGACTCAACGCTGACTCAGTGACCCTATAGGAGACAGTTTCCAAGGCTGTCAATCTTTACAGAAGCAGACTGCTAATTTCACAAATGAACAAAGCAAAAGTATTTGATGTACATTTACAAAACAAAACAAAACAATATATATATTCACTTAAATGTCCAAAGGACACCTTCCGCCAACCAACCTGCTGCCCACAGGCACATGGTCTTTCTCAGTCCATGGCCCTGGAGCCCACGGCTGTTCTGTCTCTCCATGCCATCACCTGGGCCACAGACTCCGCTGTGGGCACTTTTCTAGGTGGGATCTCACACTCCGCTCATGCTCCTAATTGGTGGCCCTGGGATTGTCTGTTTCCCACTTTAATTACACATCTTCTACAATTATAGTGATGACAATCATCATTAATCCTGTGTAGCTTTATTTTTATCATACTAAACTTAAAGTATGTCCCTTTTATACCTGTTAAACATTTTATAAATGTTTATAACAGTTCAAATTCTTCTATTTCATCCTCACTGTGGTGTTGGAGGAGAATACTGAAAGTGCCATGGACTGCCAAAAGAACCAATAGATCTGTTTTGGAAGAAGTGCAGCCAGAGTGCTCCTTGGAGGCTAGGATAGCTAAGCTTCGTCTCTCATACTTCGGGCATATTGTCCGGAGGAAACAGTCACTGGAGAAGGATGTCATGTTGGGTAAGGTGGAGGGTCAGAGAAAAAGAGGAAGACCCCTAACGAGATGGATTGGCCAGGTGGCATCATTGATGGACTCAAGTGTGGCAGTGGTAGTGAGGTTGGCCCAGGATCGGACATTGTTTCATTCTGCTGCGCATGGGGTCCCTATGGGTCGGTTCTGACTTGATGGCACCTGACAACAACAACAAACATTTTATTGTGGTTTGGCTGAAAGTTTACAGACTAAATTAGTTTCCCCTTCAAAAAAAAAAAGCAGACTGCTGATGTTTTTTGGTTAGCTCGATGCTTTGGCACTGTGACCTGAGGATCCTTGAACAAAGGGCAAACCACTGCTTTCCAGTTGACTCTGACCCACAGTAACACTCTAGGACAGAGTAGAACTGTTCTCAAGACTGTAAATCCTTACAGAAGCAGACTGCCCCATCTTTCTCCTGAAGAGCACCTGATGGGTTCGAACTGCTGACCTTTTGGTTAGCAGGCTAGTATTTAACCCCTGTGCCACCAGGGAGCTTTAATACTACATATTGTTATTGTTAAGTGCCATCAAGTCAGTTCCAACTCATAGCGACCCTGTATAGGGTTTCCAAGGAGCAGTTGGTAGGTTTGAACCAAGAACCTTGCAGTTAGCAGTTCGGTACTTATCCAACAGTGCCACACTGGGACTCCATGTTGTTGTTGCTGTAAGTGTCGTCAAGTCGATTCTGACCCATAGAGACCCTGTATAGGATTTCCAAGGAGCAGCTGGTGAGCTTGAACCACTGACCTTGCAGTTCAAGCCTACTTTGCAGTTCAAAGCACTAACCCTCAGCGCCACCCCAGGAGTCCCCAGGACCCCATAACAGATACTAACTAACTCACCTAATGAATATGAGGGGGCTTCAAAAACTTCGTGGAAAAATGCCAGGAGCAGCTGGTGAGCAGCTCCATTTTTCTACGAACTTTTTAAGGCCCCCTTGTACTTCCCAAAGAATGAAAATTCATACATAATCCTTTTGCCCCAGATTTTTAGAGGCGCTGCCTGCGGGAACATGGATGTTTATTTATAGGAAACCACCTGCTTTACAGAGAGGCTCAGAGTGGAAGGAAGTAACGGGATAGGAGAGGGTGTGAGGTTGACATTTTCTCACTGGTGAATGCCATGTAGGACAAACGGTCTGGTGCGAGGGGGACTTGTGAGGAGAGATAGGGCTCAGGAAGGCGAGTGGGATTTCTTTTACTCCCTTGGTGGAGGAGAGGAGAGAGTTCTGAGAACTAGGAAAATAAATGGCTAATACATGTTGTTGTTAGATGTCTTTGAGACAACTTTCAGCTCTTAGCAATCCTATGTGATAGAGGAGACCTGTCCCAGAGGGTTTCCTA